ACTATTTTAAATTTATTTTAAAGTGTAAACCCTAAGAATTAGAGCTCCAGCCCACAAAACGATGCCGTTTTTCTAGTTTTTTAGAATCTTTCAAACATTAACCTTGCTTGTGTTTTAAGTTCATTATCTATATTGGAACATTATGGATTCCTTGCAAGAGAAAAAAATAGTAAATTATGCGCATAATTCTGAACACCCTGATTGAACTCTACTGAACTTTACATAATTAAAAAATTTATCTAATCTTCATGTAAACATTTTGAACTAGTAAAGCTTGTATGTATTAAAGTTAGAATATATGATTTTATGTAAATAAAGTAAAAATTTTATCATATATAGAAAAACTCAAAGATGTTTATTTAAACAAAATATTTTATCACTTGCAAACCATATATATATATTATGAGCCCAAAAATAGTCAATTGAAAAATGAAATCATAAAATATTTAAAATGAACTTTGATCTTAATGAAGATTTTATATACCATTTATTATTTAATAGTGTTTCAAAATTTTTAAATGACATTAATAATCCACATACAATCGATAAAGGATGTTAAGCACTGATTGAATTCTTTATTTTGATTGATCGTAATAATTGAAATTAGTAACCAATACTTTTTTCTTATTATTTTAATGTTATTATCATGAAAGTTGTTCTGCCGACTGAGTAAATATAGGACGTTCTCAAGCGCCTCAATTAATGGATCAAAGTATGTCAAAAATGTGTCGGAAATTAAATTTTAATTAACGGAAAGTAATTTTCATCGATCGATCGAGCTTGTCATTAAGATGAATAAGGTAGTTTATTACGTGAAAAAAAAGGTTTAAACAGTAAAAAATGATAATTGAGTTTACCATTTCAGTCAAAAAACTTTTTGTCCCTAACCGCCTTTTTTTTTGCCCTGACTTATAAAAACTTTATAAATATTAAAATGAATAAAGTATTGTTCAAGTGATTTGATACTTTTATTATAGGTTTAAGTGATTTGATACTTTATTATAGATTTTCATTATTTTTGTAAATTTTCGATAAACTATTTATAATCCTCTCAACCTTATCGTCATTCGTGTTATTGACTTTTATCCAAAATGTTATGGCAATAGCTAAAATTAAGTCATAATAATTGTGCACTATTTCGATCACTATGAAATCGCATCTGATTGATGCTTGAGAACATGATTGAGATACTGTTACTAACAGATACTGAAAATTGGGCCTCTAAAAATGTAAACTTTATTAAATCCATATACACTCCTACTATCAATTTAATTGATGAGTGTAAAAACATTTATTAACGTACATATTTAAGACAAGTTTTTAATATCAAACTCATTAGAGAAATCTATTTATTCTTATCAATTTAATTAATTTAATCAGCAAATATAAAGAATATTTATCATTTGGTGTAATTGAAAAGAGCTATTGTATATATTCAATATCACACATTTAATTCCTATTATTCTTCAAAGAATAAAGTAGTGATACTTCATGCCACTAACCACAATAATTATCATACATTATAAGCACTAGATTTCAAATCACTTTGTCAATAAACATTGAACCCAAATGAGATTATTAATTTTGCCGTATGCAGCCTTTGAAAACAATACAAATGCTTTTTCTTCATCTATAGGAGTTCCAAATCCATTTTTATAACACTGGCCGAGATTAATTTGCCCCTCAATATTACCACCTTCAGCAGATTTAAAATACCATTTAAATGCTTTTTCTTCATCTATACCATGTTGATAACAACCTCCAAGTTTATTTTGTGCATTGATGCCACCGTTTTTTGCAGACTTTAAATACCACTCAAATGTCTGTTTACAATCTATGTCAATGCCTAAACCGTTATAATAACTAAATCCAAGGTTAGCTTGTCCAAAAGAGTTATCGCTTTTAGCAGATTTCAAATAACATTCGAATGCTTTTTTATTGTCTTTAGAAACACCCGAACCATGCTGATAGCACCATCCAAGATCATTATATCCATTAGAATTACCATTGTTTGCAGAACTTAAACATAATTGAAATGCTTTATTTTCATCTATGACAACTTCTTGACCCTCAAAATAGCAACCTGCCAAATTAATTTGTCCATCAGAATTACCGCCTTTTGCGGATTTTGAATACCACTCAATTGCCTTTTCAAAATCTTTATCAATACCAATACCATATTGATAACAAAATCCAAGATTATTTTGACTGATTAGATTACCACTTTTTGCTGATTTTAAATGCCATTTAAGAGCTATTTCATTATCATTTCCAATTCCTCCATAATTTTTATAATAATGTAAAAAATAATTTTGCGCAATAGTCATATTAGCACTAAAAAAGGATTTAAAATATAATTCAAAAGCTTTCTTTTTATCTTTGATAACACCTTTACCATTTTTGTAACAATATCCAAGATTTGCTAATCCATTTAAGTTTCCACTCTTAGCTGATTTTAAATAATATTCAAGTGATCAGAATATAGGAAAAATTTCTTTAGCTTATTTATATTTTTATGGAATTGGAGTTAAAGAAGATATGCAAAAATCATTTCACTTATATAATGAAACAGTTAAAAATAATTATGGTTTGGGGCAATATTTGGTTGGTAAATGCTTTGAAGAAGGTTACGGAGTAGAAAAAAATTATAAAAAGGCTTTTGAATCGTATCTTAAATCTGCCGAAAATGGAACACCCCCTTGGTCAATATGGTCTTGGACGATTTTATCAACACGGAATATTTATTGTTATAGATAAAAAAATTTGCAATTAATTCATTAATAAATTGTAAATCAGAATTACTTGTTTTTACATCTTGAATAATTGATCGTGTATAAAATTTATTCGCTAGTCTATAACTAATCTCTGTACCAATTCCAAATTGATAAAAATAACCAATTATACTTGTAAAGTATAATTGTTTTTGATGATGAATTAATTGATTAAAAGTATCAAAAGGATTTGTATTATTATCTTTAAAATATTGTCTCAATGTATTAACGATAAATGTTGGTTCATAATGAACATTAAATAATTTAATAAAGTAATTAAATAAATTTAATATAAATTCTTCATCATTCGTAAAGGGAATATATAATCCGTAAGATTCCAATGAAATGTTTGATGCTTTTGAAGCAAGTTAATAGAAGAAGTGAAATATGTTAAAATTTGTGTTTTGACTTTGAAATATACAATAATGAATTACCTTTTTGAATCTTGTCTTCAGATTCTCTTTTAATATTATTGACCTCTTCCTGAACATTAAACGCACACTTGGAGCCGTCCATGAATTCTTTGTCCGATTCTTCAAACTTATTGTAAGCCATTATAAAATTAAATTTCAAATATATAGTAACACTTTATTTATAAATTGTAATGGCGAAATGTTGCACAAAATGCTGTTTAAATTTTGTTCGTACGTACGTACATACTACACGTACCTGTGTACGTACTTACGTCATATATATGTAACTAGTACGGTTCATAGGCAGACATTCGTATGATTGGCAGTTTAAATCAATTTAACTTTACATTTTTATACAGTTCAAAGTACTTTTTTAAAAAAGAAAATTACTACGAATAAACAAAAAAGAAGGATATAGAAAGTTTTATTAGGGTTGTAGGACTCCACTATTAAAAATAATCAAAATTCTTTTTTGTTTTAGAGAAGTTAGCATGGTGATAACCTAATTTTAAGAAGTATCTATTATGCTAAATTCTCTAAAACAAAAAAGAATTTTGATTATTTTTAATAGTGAAGTCCTACAACCCTAAAGCCACAGTACGATCACATGAATGTGTAACATGAAATGTGAGAGGGATGGTTCCGTTCAACTTTTTTGATGTGAGCATTATGTCAGTTATATTGAATTTTGCGGGAAATTGATTTAGAAAGGGTGATGAATTACATTTGTACATATTTAGAGTAGGCTGAGACGTCTGTAATGAAGATAATGCAAGGTGACGTGTTTGATTTGGACATTTTGGTTCGGATATTTTGTTTTACAAAAAAGAAAAAGTCATGAGAGATGTGATATGGGTGGAATTGTTGGAACGTAACCGGAATTGGGTTTGCGAAAAGAACGAAATTCATGGTAGAAGTTATGTTCGAAGTATGTGGTGAAGGTATAAAAAATCGCATAATGACAGTGTTGTGGAAAAAAATTGAATGCGCTTACAAAAAAAAAATGAGGGTGTGAGACACAACACCTGGTATCGTGTGTTGGGTTCGAAGATTCGAATCACATGTTACAAAAGCAGGTGTTGATCATGTGAAAAAAGCTTAGTATGGGAGTTATACGAAGATTTTAACGATGACATAGAAATGTGTAATCGATGATAATGATGTAATGAATTAGTAACAAAACATAGTTAGACTAAAATAATGTGTAATAATTTGTAAATGACGTAATTATTAAAAAGGCGAATAAGAGGCGAAAAAAAAAAGAGAGAGAAAAAATTACTTTCGCTTCACCTTGAATGACTAACAATAGACGAAAATTTTATTAGAAATTAAGATGGTAATCATTGTTATGTTAAAATCATGAACGTGGTTGCTACGATAGTAATTTCATGATTTCTTATTTTTGAAAATTGTAAGTACGTATGTAAAAGCACGGATATATTAACTTAATTTAGTTACTACAATATGAAAAAAGTTACCGGGAAGTTTTAAAAGATAGTCGTAATTGATTGCAACGTTATGACTACATTTCTATACGTGATAATCTTTTAATTCCATTATAAAAGTATTACAACCAAATTGTAAATAATCCATGATGAAATGTGGGTATAAATTAATTAAAAAGTCAACATAATGGGTAACAACACCCTGCAACAATCCAATTATCAAAAAAAAACTCATAAACCAACAGAGCGTCTAAATTTGATAAACAAAGAACGATGGCCTTTATTTGATTAAGGCATTAAAAATATGCAATTTTCAAGTCTGACCGGCACACACTCCAGGATACGACATACTACCAATCAAGCCCAAAGCCCAACGGTGACACAGCCACAAAGCATTGACCATAAAGACTCGAAGTACCTACTATCTGGGCAAAGGTCGCAGTACAGTTTCTAGTCAGGAGACACAACAAATTAAGGCTGTGGAGCGTGCAGCGTCTATTCACTCAGACACATCCCTCAGCGACATATAAATCCACTCAGTAACAATAGCCACCTCGACATAGGCATACTCCAAATTCTGACTAGCTCAACTTTGGACGTGATCACCAGTCAGAATTCAAAAAAAAAAAAAAGTCAATTTCCATAACAAGAGTAAAACGAAAATGGCAGAACTTACTTTCTTTGAACCTGCCATTTTCATAATTATAATTACTGAATATCAATCCACATCACATGTTCATATTAACGGCCGGCCTGCATTAGACAGGCGGGAAACCACCGACTAGCGCTAAGCCGCACAAACTCAACTGCTTACGGTGATCTCCCGGCGCAATATTTCCGGGAGCATATCCCCGTTTCAGTTTCAACATTTCAATAACGCATAATTCGCAACTAATATAATCTGCATCCATCAAATAAAATTAAACTCTGGTATATCAAACCGGACCATTCCAAATTTAAAGAAACATGCATGCAATGCTTTTTGTTAAACTTAATGGTTTTTTAACGAATAGTAAGATATCGATTTAATTCAATTATTTGCAATAGTACCGACAGTCCATCGATTTTTTTCTTTAATATTATCTATATTTTTATGAGTACTATTAGAATATTCTTCTATTAATACTTCTAAAAATATTATTTATGTTTTTAATTTGTCAATCAGAAATATAAGGCATTTTAAATATATCAAGTCTTGAAAGAAAATTCACGATCATAAAAGTTATTATATAAATAAGCTTACAAATCAAAATGAATATTTATGAACTGCTAATTTCGAAATAAATGCATAACTAATTTAATTTGAAAACCTGATTCTTAACTCTGAATTACCCCAATATTGATATTTCGATTGATGAATTTAATATTCTAATATAAAAAAGTTGCATATTTTTTATTTAAAGTTTATCTATCTATCTATATCATTTAATTCTGGGTTTGTGGGTTTTAACGTTTTTGATGATAACTAACTTGTGGTTCCACGATAGTATAAGTAGGTAGACAACATTCTCTTTGTTAATACGGGCATGTTCCTCTGGGAAAAATTCTGGGAGATATTGCATTACTGTACAATAAGAATTTATGCTAATGCAATTCTTCAGAAATTTGAATCAGATATCTTTTAAAAGTAAAGATATTATATTTGTTATTAATGAGAACTAATTATATAAGCAAATTTTAGACGGCAAAAAATTTGTACTTACTGAATAATGCGCAACTCGATAGATATTTAGGGAAATATTTAACGTTATCCTTTATCCTTAGCAAAAGTTATTGACTCATCCTCATCAGTTTCCATAAATCTTTTTTTTTTTTATCATCATCACTTGGAGAAGAATTCAAAATAATTATTTCGATTTCCCTAAATTCTCTTCAGAAATCTTGAGATTCTTATAGGCTAAAATATCAAACAAACTGATGCCAATATTCTTTTAGACATACTCCATTTAAGTAATAAATGGTAGGCACTAGTTTATAAGACCCGGTCGGTGACCGGGTTCGAGTTCCTAATTTTTTGCTAATTCTTAGGCCTCAACATTAATAA